CCCCGCAGCCCTGGGCGTCCTCCTTTTCCAGGGCGTGTCCTCCATTTCAGAACGAAGCCTCGTTCCAAAAAAGTCCTCCCTTTGGAGCAAGACTTAAGAAGCATGCATGGATGGATGTTTAGAGGAGTGGTTTTGAGCTCTGATTTGAGCGTGTCTGACACTGCTCTGGAATGTCCTCCATTTCTAGGTGCCTTGTCCTCCTTTTTCCAGGGTGTACCCTCGGTTTGAACCTTTTGTCCAGGAGGAGTTTCAAAATGTCCTCCCTGTGGAACATGACTAAGAAGCATGAATTGACCTTTCTTTATATGAGTGTTTCTGCAGCTTTTGTTTGGCCACGTCCTCTATTTGTCTGGAAGGTCCTCCATTCTGCGGTGCCTTGGCCTCCTTTGCGATGCGGAGAGCTGGTCACCCTGCTTGAAATTATATTTAGATCAGTGTTTTGAGCATTTGATTTGGTCGTGTCCTCAACTTTTCAGGACTGTCCTCCATTTTGTGGTGTCTTGTCCTCCTTTGGGGTGAGGCTGGGTGACCATGTGTCCTCCTTATCCAGGAAGTGTCTTGCATTTCAACCTTCCCTCCAGAAGGAATCCCCAAATGCCCTCCCTTTGGAGCCTGACTGGGAGATTTTATTTTGTAACGTCCTCCATTTTTCTTAAAGGTCCTCCATTTTGCAGTGCCTTGTCCTCCTTTGGGGATGTTAGGACATCTGGTCACACGACTTTGTATTGTAGCACCTTTGAGCCTAACTGAAAGAAAGAAGTTGGCAGCATGAGCTATCATAGACTTAAGTATGCAGTACTTCCTCAGATTTATTTGGATGCTTTTTAAAAGGAGACTTGAGTCTATGAAAGCTTATGCTGCCAAATTCCATCTTTCAGTTAGGCTCAAAGGTGCTACAAGATCTCTGTCTACATACTGATTCTACAGACTAACATGGCTATATCTTTGAATTCTGACTTTCCTATTGGTTGGTCCCAGCTAGAGTAGACCCATTGAGTCTATTGGTGAATGGCGAGGCACCGATTGGAGAGCAAGCTGTGGTGTAGTGGTTTGAGTGCTGGACTAGGACACTGGGTTTGAATCCCTGCTCAGCCGTGGGAACTCACCTTGGGCAAGTCGTACTGTCTCAGCCTCAGAGGGAACTCAAACAAAAATCCACCAAACAGTGATACCTTTATTGGCCAACTAAAATGCACAATATATTTGTTGCAAGCTTTTAAAGCTCCATGGGCTTCTTCATCAGGCAAGATGTAACAAACCAAACAGGAGAAAAACAATCGGAGATGTTAAGCAGATTATCTGTTTTTCTCCTGTTTGTAACATCTTGCCTGATGAAGAAGCCCATGGAGCTTCAAAAGCTTGCAACAAGTATGTTGTGCATTTATGGAGCTTCGAAAGCTTGCAACAAGTATGTTGTGCATTTTGGTTGGTCAATAAAGGTATCACTGTTTGGTGGATTTTTGTTTGAATTTGCTAAATGGCCAACACAGCTATCCCTGAATGTTTTCTGTATTGTGAAATAGGCTCAGAGGGAGGCAATCAAATCCCTTCTGAATAAACAAAACCTTGACAAGAAAACCTCATGATAGGTTTGCAGTTGTTGTTAACTGCCCTTGAGTTGTCTTCCACCCATGGCAACCCTGTGGATGAAACATCTCCAAGACCCCCTGTCCTGCGCTGCTCTATTTAGGTCCTGTAATTTTATGCCTGTGACTTCCCTGATGGTCTTCTTCCCTTCTACTAGCTTTTCACAGCTGCCATAAGTTGGAAATGGCATGAACTCAGACAGCGACAACAAAGGGGCAACAGTTAAGCAAATTCCATACATTTAACATGTGTTTTGTGTTTGTGTGTTGTGAGCCTTCAAGTCCTTTCTGACTTGTGGTGACCCTAAAGCAAATCTGTCATGGGATTTTCTTGGCAAGATTTGTTCAGAAGGGGATTTGCCTTTGCCATTGCTTCTCCTGAGACTGAGAGGGTGTGACTTGCCAAGTGGGGAATTGAACCTTGGTCTTTAGAGTCGTAGCCCAGCACTTAAACTACTACATCCCACTGATCTCAATTGGGACTGCCAGTAGGATTCAGGCCTTTCAAGGCTGACTTCCCAATTTAATAGTAAAGAGAGAGAAAAACCCTTGAGGTATTCCTCCACCTTCCTTCCTATCATTGATTCAGCCTATAGCACTTGAGTGTCACACCCCATAGGCCTGCTTGGATCGAAAGCTACATTTTGCCCCCTCCTGGCTTTTTTGTTTTTTCGCAGACAAGCTGGTGAAAGGCTTAAGCAGTTTGGTTAGCCCACATGTATGTATATATGTATGAATGTATGTATGTAAGGTGAGCTATGTGTGCTCTGTTCCTTCACGTTGTTTGTGACAAACCTATTGTGGGGTTTTCTTGGCAAGATTTGTTCAGAGGAGGTTTGCCATTGCCTTCCCCTGAAGCAGAGAGAGTGTGATTGAAGGTCACCCAGTGGGTTTTCATGACTGAGCAGGGATTCGAACCCTGCTTTCCGAGTCATAGCCCAACACTCAAACCACTACACCATGCTGGCTACTCATGTAATCTACTCAGGCAATAATTATACCCAATGATCTGTGAAAGTATGTGTATGTACATGATTGTACGTTGTTTCTTTTCCTTCCTCTCACCTCTTCTCCTCCTCCTGGAAATTCCTTTTCCTTGGTGAAGGTATGGCTTCATTGGCACTGATCTGAACAGAGTTTGGTAAAGTTATTCTTTTGGACTACATCTCTCAGAGGGAGATGTAGGACACCTCGATCCCCATATCTTCATCAAGCTCCAGACTTGAACTGTGGCTTCACATTAAACAGGAATTTTACTTGGCGGGTAGAATTCAGAGAAAAAGCCATTAGTCTGGAATATTATATGCAAAAGGATCTTTTAACAGCATTGAGACTAACTATGTAGAAGAATTTGTGGCATAAGCTTTTGTAGACTTGGTCTACTCTTCCTCTGATTTCACGCCATGTATCTGAGGAAGTAGACCAAGTCTGTGGAACCTCTTCTACCCAGTTAGCCTTAAAGGAGCTACACGATCCTTTTGCATACAGGAATTCCACTTGTAACCCACCTACCTTGCAGAACTGTGCTTGGAGTGATTCAAGCACCTGTTTTCTTGGTGTGGATAGAGTTCTCTTGCAGCTCAGAATTTTTACTAGCATTCTCCATAAAGTAAATGTGTGTGGGAGGGAGACACACACACACACACACTGGGGTACTTGTACACATTTGGGGAGGGAATGATATTTACTCCTGTCCCTTGCTCCTCCACATCTTGATCTTATCATTTGCACAACTGTCTTTGGAAAGAAGCCATTCCCTGGAATAGCTGAGGAGTGGATGGACTGGTGATGTGGGTGGAAGGCACAACTTGGCACGCTCAACTTTGGAGGAAAATAGTTCCCAGAATCTCCCAGCCGGCTTGGCTTATCTCTCTGGAAGTCTGTCATTCTAAAAAGTTGGTTTCCCACACTCAGTTGGGAAGAGGTTGACAGTGGTGGCCCACTAGATGCTTCAGGTTTTGCAGAGTTGACTGGGGAGGAAGTTCCAATTCCATGTAACAAAATGCCATTGATTTCCAAAGAGAGGTGTAGTGCACCAGATTTTTCTATGACTGTTCACAAGGCACCCACAAAACATCCAGGGGAAGATGAATCTTAGATTTCTAATTAGAAATAGCTATGGACAATGCCATGATAGAGTTCAAAGACCTAGCCATGTTAGTCTGGAAAATCAGTATGCAAAGGAATCTGAGCATCTTTGAGACTAACTGAAAGATAGAAGTTGGTAGCGTGAGCTTTTGTAGACTTGGGCCTAGTAGACTTGAGGTCAAGTCTACCAAAGCTCATGTTACCAACTTCTATTTTTCATTTAGTCTCAAAGGTGTTGCGAGATCCCTCTGCAATGTCATGATACAATTGCCTTAGGGTCTCCATAAGTCAGAAATGACTTGAAGGCACACAACAACAACAATGTCCCTGGCAGACTTTAAAAATGAGCCACAGTCAAGATTGCTGGGGAAACAGGTTGGGGAATACAACAGAGAGGGGTGGGGCCGAGGGGAGGTTGCTTTCCTTAGATCTCTTAACCTTAATTAGAAATCCCTCTATTGACATGAGCATAACATTCAATTCATATTACCCCTTTTAACTACAAAGGCCTAGGGCAAATATAACTAGAATGAGACATAAGGAGCATTTTAGAGTTGAGGTGTGGCACTTCCTCGTGCACCACTAGGGTGGCTGTATGGTACCAGAAGCAACTCATGTAATTATTATTGTTCATATTAAATAATACAGAAGTCACTGATGAGATCCACACCTAATGATCATGCACCATGCTACAGCTTCTGGGAGATCCTTCATCAACAGCGATAGCTTACAGATACACATTAAGGTGACTTCTATCACCAACATTGCTACCAGCTCTGATCTTTCCAACCTAATGTGGGTTTGAGTCAGAGTGGTGTAGTGGTTTCAGTGTTGGACTATGACCCTGGAGATGAGGGTTCCTTGCTCAGTTATAGAAACCCACTGGCTCACCTTGGTCATGCACTCTTAGCCCTAGAAAACCCCATTTTAGGGATTAGGGCCACCATAAGTTGTAAACAACTTGAAGGCACACAATAACCAGTAAGCTGATTCCCAGTGGGTCATGAAAAGTGAGTCTTTCATGTGGCTAAGGACACTTGGTTTTGGTATCAAGTGTGTGTGTGTTTTAACAGCCACATCACTTCCCACTGCATCTTAAATTAATCGGAGGTTGGGTGGTTTTATGGTTAAGAAGCACACCCTGTACAACCTTAGAAATGCACTCTCCACCATAGTTAGCATGTTGCAAGGCTGTTGTGACATTACCATGAATGGGCTCTGGGTTCCAGGTTTAAGAATCGGCTAGGCATGCCTCAAGTTAAACACTGTGTGTGTCCGTGTGTGTGTGTGTATGTTTACACACGCAGCCCGCACCCATATCCACACCCCGTAATTGCATTCTCTTCTGATTTTTTGTGATAGCTGTAATTGCTTGAAAACAGAGTATAGTTGAAGTTAGTGAAATAAGGAATACTGTGTTTGATGCAGAGTTTAGAAAAGGGGCATTTGGGTTATGGAGACTATAAGCCATGCTGCCTGAAGGATTTTGGAAGTTATAGTCCAAAGGAAGCTGAAGGGTCTGTTTCTCCAGCTCCAATATGGTGCATAGACCAAATCTATTTTTTGCCTCTGTTAAAAAAGAGTGACAGATTGTTGTGCTACTTGAGAAACCTGTTTCACCAGTCAAAGTTAGTTCAAAGAAATGTCTGTATACTATGGGGAAGCTAAATATCTCCTGGCAACCCCATTATCCATTTCCTGTGTCTGAGAGCACTTAAAACAGTGCTTGCAAAGTTACTTCTCAAAAGTAATGCATTCTGTTACTCATTACCATGTTAAAAAACAACAACCCCAAAACAACTTGTTCCTGCTTAGGTGTTGCAATGATGAAGAAATTATTAATTGTTGGCACTGCTCATTACTTTTCCATTACAGTACTTTTTTTTCTATGGGGAGCACCTTAGGATTAATAAGAAAATAGCATAAAATTTGAAACATTCCTGTCAGAATGCTTCATAATGCCCATAAAGGTAATACTTGAAAATAATAAGCTGTCAATCATTACACCAACAAAATAACTTTGTACTTGTTGCATTGTTTTTAAAATATAACTTTTAAAATTCCATCATTATCAAGCAGTGACTAAATACAGCTAATGATGTTACTTTCAATTCCCTGCTTTCAACCTTTGCATTTAAACCTGGAACAATAGTCTTTTCCTTTTTTGAAGAAGCCTGGGAACTCTAGTTCTGTAAAACTGGTGCGACAATGGATCTCTAATGGAGAATATATTCATAGGTAGTTGTTGTTGTTGTAGGCCTTCAAGTTGTTTTAGATTTATGACAACCCTAAGGTGAACCTATCACTGAAGTCTTTGGCAAGATTTGTTCCCAGGGCAGGGCGTGTCTTTGGCTTCCTTTGAGGCTGAGAGTGTGTGACTTGCCCAAGGTCACCCAATGAGTTTCTGTGGCTGAGCCAGGATTCAAACCCTGCTCTCCAAAGTTATACTCCAATGCTGAAAACAACTACACCATGCTAGCTCATATTCCTAGTACCTTCAGCTAAACTACAGATCCCAGGATTCTTTGTGGAAGTTGGAAGATGGGAGATCTATGGCTGTGAAAACATAATGGTGATATATTATCATGGTTCTTGTGCCAGATTGTATGCAGTGGCTGCATGATGGAAGTGGCTTTTCATTGCTTCCTGCTTCCCTGCCGATTAAGTGTAAGCGATGGTGGAGCATGCAGTCATGGGATTTGTACTTAGGTGAGCCACTAGAGCTCTCTGATAGACCAGGCTGAATACCTCACCAAACTACAAATCCCAGGATTCCACAGAATAGTCATGAGAGTTAGTGATGTCAAACTTAATTCTGCAATGCGGCTGCACTCTGACTCCAACCATTTCTAATATGGATCAAAGCTGTTCTACTCCATTCTTTGCTGAGAGTAGATTTGCACTTGCATGGAAAGTGTTCTTTGATCTGGGGTGGGGAATTGAATTGCTGGCCTTCCAAATACCTTGGACTACAGCTCCCATAAGGCCTCACCATTGTCCATGCTGGTTGGGAGCTTTAGGCTGAGACATATTCTAGAAGGCCAACCATTTCCCAAACCTCTTTTGAAGTTGCGGGGTCTTGAAAGTTGCTGTGTATTGAAAGATCCTGCCACAAGAACATTTGTGGTAGCCATTTGAATGTCACAGGTTGGGGATCTTCATAGTTTCAGATGTTGGTGAGCAGCTACTCTCATATAGTAGTAGTTCACCAATGCTAGGACTGGTTGGAAATGGAATTCAGCAACAGGTGGAGATCTGCATGTTCCCTAGCCTTACTTTACTGGATAAGGAGAAATTATACCTTCCAACTATCCCATTCCAATTCATCCTCTGTCATCCCACTTGTTCAGCTGATTTAAAATGTCCCTGTTTCTTTCTTCTCCCCTCACTTTCCTCCTTTGTCCTCAGCTAATTGAAATTGCCTCAAACTGAGTGCAAGTACATACTTTCAGTAGTGGTTAGAAGAGAGGTGGCGGCAGAATCTTACTCTTCCCAAGTGGCTCAGGCAAAAGCAAACCTAAGTAGTACTGTATGTAGAGTAAGAGAAACCTATAAAAGGCAATAAACCTTTTTGCAAGTTAACACTGGACGATTTAAGTTGAAAGAGCTCTCTTCTTTATCATGGAAAACCTTTATCAACTCTGCCTAGCTTTTATGTTAAACCGAAATTACTCTTGAATTATTTTTATTGTCTCTTTAGGTTTGTGTTATCTGAATGAGGGCAACAATTGGTAAATGGAGTTCATCCTTTCCAGTTTTAGGGTCACTCCCCCCCCTATATTTTTAGCTGAAGTTCTAACTCAGTTATTTTTGTTCTGCAAAAATCACTGATGTTCTCAGCAGTGTCAGAGGTTTAAAAACAAAACTGAACCAGGCATCA